GAGCGACCCATCGATCGTCTCCGTCGTCTTCCGGCGCAGGAGTGTGACGTAGGCGGCGCAAATATACAAGGGAGGTGTTTATAATAAGTTGAGACGCTTCGGCTGCACAATTTCTCACAAAAGAGACGATGCACAACTGGCAGGAGAACGAAATCAAAGAACTTCTGAACATCCGGGGCTCGGAGGCGATCCGTAACCAGATCACCGGCACCGTGAAGGACTCGGTAGTTTACAACAGGATGACCAAACTGCTGGCGGAGAAGGGGGTGTACAGGTCACACATGCAGGTGATCAGCAAGCTCAAGGCGCTCAGGAAGCAGTACACCAAGTACCACCAGCAGAAGAGCCGCTGCGGGGGAGACCGCGTCGACTGGCCCTTCTACGAGCAGTGCCACCGGGCTTTTGCGAACGCCCCCGTGGGTCACCCGGTGAGGCGGCACCGGAGTCCCACGTCTCCTCCTCCTCCGCCGCCGCCGACCACCACCTCCACCAACAACAACACCACGACGCTGCCGCCCGCATCCACACCTTCACCGCCTTTGCCGCCTCCGCCGCAGCCGCCGCCGCCGCCCACCGCCAGCAGCGAGGAGCACCCAGAGGTGGTGGTGAGCCTCTGGGACGAGGTGGACGACCGGGAGATCAACAAGCACCTGGGTCCGGTGGAGGCGGAGGACGACGAGGAGCAGTACAGTCCGGCGGAGCAGCTGCACACCATCAATACCAGTGAGTACAGGTGTGGGTTCACTGGTCTGATGACCTGTTTGTGTCAAGAGGGCTGCAGAGAATCTAGTGTCTCCTACAGAACTGTTTAATGCATAATACATTCTGTCATATGGTGACATTAAGCCAGAGTTTCACCAACTCCTAACCAAACCTTGCAACAACACCTGCTGGTTAACTGCCATGCATTTGTCTAACATGCACATGATCTGTGCATTGAGTCCTGACCTGTGTGCCTAATAACTCCTAAAGATGCACGCTGTGGTTGTTGGAACAGCATCAGTGTGTTTGACCTAAAGCTGCATGATACGGGTGGAAAAGTGCAATGTGAAAAAGTACAGGAGTCTTCACTAGATGACTCCAGCAACTGTTTGTGGTGCTGATTTAAATGGTGAAATTAGCCGCGTTGTTTCATGTAGTGGCAGGAAAAAACTGCAGACAGACATCATCCTTTTTGTTGCTGCAACAGAAGATGCATTTCTTTTTTGCAACCAGATGTGCACATGTGGATCCTGCATGTGGACAAACTTCATGTTCTGTCAGACAGACTTGGTGGAGTTTGGTCATGGAAAATGGGAAACCATGCAAGTTGGGCAAAAAAAAAAAATCTAATTTCAATTTGTCTCGCTTAATTTGTGCATCTGATCATCATGTCAGTGCTGAAGATAAAATCAGCAAAGCCGTTATTAGTCCACCAACACTGATTTCCTCATGTTGTTATGTTCAGACATTACAAACATTCCACTGAAATGTGGAAAATACCATTATTTCAGATGCCAGTGTTATTGCACAGATTCTTCTATGTGTTGAAACACTGATGTAAGAAATTCTGAGATTGCGCAGATTTAGTCTGGAGCCATACACCGTGCAGCCCGAGTGGAGCCGCATGAATCCTTCAGTAAAACATGGCGCATATGGACGGATCAGCGCTTCCCAGAAGTACAGAAAACTACCTGACTCTTCATGTGGAGTCTTACAAATTGCCCTTCTGTAAGGTTTACCACCCCCGTAACGACTATCAACACACTAATCTCTTATCTGCTCTGTAAACAGCCTGCAGCTGAAGCAGTCTGAGGTTTTGTCACATGACTGTTGGTCACAGCTGAGTCACTGAAGGCCTCACCGTTGTGCTGAGCAGTGCAGATTTCTTTTGTTTTTACAAACTGTGGTTACAGCAAACAGTTCATTATTGTCAGGCCTTTTAATGCATGTAGAACAATAGAGACATAGAATCAAATGATTTTGATGAAATATTTTATTCTAAAATTTGATCACACTTTCTGGCAGAGTTGCAGATGAGGTGTTCAAGGACTGTCGGGAAGTTGAAAATCTGATTCTCTTTGTTGTTATGCTTTCTGGTTCTGATAAGTGTTGTGATATTAACTTTTCTTTCTTTTCTTTGTTTTACAGATAATGTGGCTTTCAAACCTGAAAGTGGGCTGTGGAGTTCAGAGGGTAAATATGCTTCACGTTACTGTACAGATGTTGTCCTGATTGTTGTTGTGCTGGTTCTGATCGGTCACAGTTGATTTAAAAATGTCGCGTTTGATGCCTGAGAGTTCTTTTTATTTAACCTTTATTTTACCGGGTGAGTTAATTGAGAACTGGTTCTCATTTTCAGTAACGACCAGGTCAAGAGGCGGCACAAACAAAATATTACAAAACAAATTACACAGACTTGCAAAATAGAGAGGCTAGAAACAGATGCAGTGGTCCTGAAGTGTTGCTCTAACTGCTTTTTTTTATAAATGACGACAGTGGTACGTATGAGGTGAGCTTTAGCTGAACCAAGCATGTAAATCATAGTTTTACTGAAGCTCCAGTGTAGTGAAACATGTCTATGTCCTGTCGGTGACGGTGTGTCTGTCTGTGGTCTCCAGCGTACACAATCCCCTCAAAGAAAAAGAAAACGACGGTGATGGAGCAGGTTTCCACTCTGGTGTCGGCGACCGTGGCCCAGCTCAGAGAGATGGACGCCGCCATGCAGGCGCAGGAGGACGCCCGGCTGCAGAGGCTAATGGACCACGAGAGGGAAATGCAGAACAATCTAATGAGCCAGCTCATTGCCATGCACGAGAGGATGAGTCGAGAAAACCACGAGAGACACCTCCAACTCGTGGACAGGATATTGTCCAGGTTCCCTTCACAGTCGGGACCGTCGGACCACTGACGGACTCTTCCTCCTCAGACTCTCCTCCACCAGCTGACCAGTGCCTACGTCCACACTCCTCCTGTTTTTACTGCAGTTCTCAGCATAAGGAAAATAACTGACACTTGCCTTTTAACCTCAACAGTTGTAGCTCCGACGGATCCAGGATGAAACCAGGTCGTGTTCACACTGCAGCCGCTCCGGTTCTCTGCCTGTGTGACTTTGTTTTCATCTGTTAGTTAAACAATTAAACCGCTCTGGCATTGATTAAACCCCAGAAATTACATCTCTGCTCATCACAATGGATGCTTTTTTACGTTAAAACACTGTAAAGCTACAGTAAGCTACACATGTCGAAGTAATTCAGTCACACATGCTCAAGTCGGACATAGATTTTGATGAAGAACGATACAGAAAGCTTTTGTTGGTTCTTTAGGTTTGTTATGTATGAAACTCTTAAGTCTGTTGTTGAGACTGTCATCGGTACCTTGCATTTCAATTGAGTCGGCTGCTTATTTCAGTCATGTTTTGTTGTCTAACTCATCATAGGTACGTGTTAACCCTCTGAACCCTCCAGCATTTTCTTGCTCCTGCCACATTTTTACTCATTTGTCACGACTATGTAAAGTCCTGCACCTCTATGGAAACAGCACAAACATGGCTAGAAGGAAAAAAAGTAAATAAATTGTGCGATATGACATAATTTGTTCATAAGGGGGGGGGAAAATGTGATTAAAAAGATTATTTATTTGATAAATATTGGAATATCATGTACAGTATTTTTCCAAATGGACTCTACAGATTACAGATACTTTATTATCTACATTTTTAATTTATTTCTCTATATATTTCCGTCTATTCTGTGTAAACGCAGCCTGCGGTTTAGCTGAAAAGTTTGAATTTTTGTCTCATTACTGCTGGCTGCAGGTCACAGTGGCTTCCTGTTTTGTTTTGTTTTTGTTTTTTTTATAAATCTGGGTCACGTGGCTGATACAGTCGTCCTCAAATGTGTTCATACCCTCCTGTTAAAGAAGGAAAACAACAGCTGAAATAAGTTGAAATTGACAAAAGTAATAATAAATAAAAAATGTAATGAAAATCATGACATTGCTTTTGAATTGTGGTTCAACAGAAATACTAAAAAAAAAAACAAAAAAAAACAAGCATGATGGGATTTTGTATTTTGATTTTGGTCCACTGCTCATCAGCAAAGTGCTCTAATTTGTCTAGGACAGTTTGTTTTTATTTTGTAATTATTCTTTTTACCCACAATTCAAAAGCAATGTCTTATTTCACTAAATTATAATTTAGCAAATTTTTATTTATTATTATTTTTTTCAGTTTCTACTTATTTGAGTGACTTTTGTGACTTTTTCCTTTTCTTTAATGGAAGGAGATGAACACATGAGGACGACTGTATATTTTTTGTTAATTTTTAAATGAGACCTGTTAAAATAAAGTGATTTTGAAGACATTTTAAGCTGATTTTTGTTAATTTTTTTTCTTACAGAATGAGTTCAAGGACTGTTGGAAAGTCTGTTTTTACACTTTCTGGCTCTAATAAATTATTTTTTGGCAATTTTCTTGTCAAACTTTGTGGATTTTGGGATTCAGAGGGTTAACAAAAAACAAAACAAAAACTGATTTCCAGCTCTTTAGGTCCATCACCGCCTTGAAAGGCTTTCTGTGAAACAGAATGTAACACGAGGCTGAAAATCTGAAGCTGGTAGTTTGACACCTGCAGCGTGAACGTAACCGTCAGTTTACAGGAAGGAGAACGCCTGAGCTGTGGATGGACGTGTTCGAGAACCACAGAACTGGCTTTTACAGGATGAGCTCGGTGGTCCTGTTGATATCTGTCATTAGAAAGATGAAAAAACATGAACACCAGCAGAGGAAACCAGTTTCATGCAGCACTGTGGTGGAAGAACAGCTTCTCCTCACTGGTTTCTCTGGTTAGTAGCAAGGTGATGGGTGCTGCAAGAAGAATACACACACACACTGATAGAGTTCAAAATGTGCAGTTTATTAGAAACACAGTGCAAGAGATCTGATCTGAAACCATGCCGTCTCTCCGGTGGCTGTCGCAGGTGTCATTCTTGGCTGACACGGAATTCCCGGTTGCGTTTACGGTCGACAGCAATCCGGGAGAAAACGTGTCATTGAGGAAAAACACCTTTTTTTTTTGCAGCAAATTCACACACAATAAATCTGCAGCCTGAGCGGTGCAGCGTCGGGTTGTTGCTGTTGGTTTCACTTTCTGTACCGAGTTAAAAGAAACCGACGGTGGCTTTCATGAACCGGAGGAGCTGAGCAGGCTTCGGTTCGTCTGTGAGGCCCAGTCAGCTGGGATGTGTACTGTAGAGGCTTTTCTACCGTTTTGTTCTACTGGTTTCTTTTCCCGCCTCCTTCAAGGAACAATAAAGTTTTCAGCTGAAGCGATGTGGATTCATTCACCTGTGGCTGAACGGTGAGGACGTAGTGAAGTGTTTGTGGAAGGGAGGAGGGCGTCCTGCTCTCGTAGTCGGTGAAGCTCAGGAAGTCTTGTGCATTGTGGGATGGAAACGGACCCCATAACCAGCTGGGCTCAGAAATCACAGCTGCATTATGGGTTCCGTTACAATCCCACTCACGAAAACAAGGTTCGGGGCTTGGACACGGGTCAGAGCAGCTAGAAGAGACAAAAACAGGAGGGAGAAGGTGAATTTTCAGGATATGTTTTGAACCAAATAACTAAAATCTGACAGATTCTGAAAGAAGAAAAGTTTTGTAATCATTTCTAAAAGCTGCAGCAAACTAACGGAGTAACTGATGGTAGGGCTAGTAATCAATATTTTAATTTGCATACAGGAAACGTAGGAACAAAAGCCAACCCCAGACACTGAGATGAAGGTTGTGATTTCATTGATTTAAACGTGATCATTGTGTGAGAAAGTCCACTTAAACAATCCAGCAGCAGCAACTTCCTCTGGTTCCTTCTGTTCTGGTTTCTTTGCCGCCAATATGACCTCATTTCACACCAACACTGATGGCTCACATTGTGTAATTACGCTCATTACGCTTGAATGGAAATTCTTAACCTCGACACATATCGCACTAATTCAGCTGAAAAACTGGACAGGAAGTGACTCGATGGAGACGACTGGGAGGCTTTGGATGAGCAGAAATATCCTGAAGAGTTACTTGTTTTTTATTCCTACAGAATCAGAGTTCACTTTTTTTTTTTTTATAGCAGAACATAAAACAACCGTTAAAGTCGTGCTGCTGTTCAGCTCGGTGATGTCGAAGTCACTCGTAAGTCAAAGTACATCAGTGTAAAGTTAGTTTTCGCTCATTAAAGATGAAGCAGAGCCGAGTGAAAGCAGCTTAACGGAGAAAGAAGATGTTGTGAAATAAGCCAAACTAGTACAGAAAAGCAGAAAAAGTTCTTATTTCTTTTGTGTTTCTTTTAATTTAGGCACTTTTTTTTAGGAAACTTTTGACATTTTAAAGTCCAAATCCTTCAATTTAAATGAGTCACTCCTTGTGGATGTTTGCTACACCTGAAGCAGCTTTAAACCACTCAGTAATCTGATTACAAACTCTTTTTCACAATCAAGTCCCACATTTAAACCACAACATGTCAAGATTCTGAGATTAAAGCTTCGGCTCGTCTGTCGGAGGCGGGAAAAAGCCCTCAATCTCCTACAGAATCACATTTTTATATACTGATGCTCGGGCTTGAAAAACCTGTTGTTTTATCAGTAGTGAGACAGTTAAGAGGACTCGGGCCCTGCACAGCCAGCCAGACGAGGAAGAGCTGATAGAGCGATAAAAGGAAGGAGGGAGCTGAAGAGAAGGCTTAAAGGAAGGACACTGTGGCTCCTTCCCGAGGATCTAAAGACATGTTTGACTTCTGGATTTATTTGAAGCTTTAAACAGCGTCAAATAAATCCAGAAAAACAACAACAGGAGTGGCTTCACAAATGTGGAGAAAAGCAGCAGAAACTTACTTTCAGTTTGACTTCAAGCCTTGATATGACAACCAGGAGGCTTCACAAAGAGGCCGCTCCATTAAAAGCCATAAAAGAGGAGCAGTGAGGGCAAAGTTAAACTGATTAAAGACAAAGAGAGACGCACACAGAGAGAGGAATGTGGACAGACACTTAGAATAAAGTCGTCAGAGTGAAAGAAAAGTGAAAGAAAAGTGAAAGTACACAAAGACAGCAGCAGCAGCAAGAAAAAACATGAGTGAAGCTGATGAAGTTAAATAAAAGCAGCTCACCAGCGTCTCTGAGCTTCGTCTCCTGGAGCCTCCGTCTGCCAACAACAGCTCCGACAGTCCAAACTTCCTCTTTAAATACTCCTGAGATTCATTTCACTTTCACTTCTCCTCCAGGCCCGGTTCCCTCCTCCTCCCTCCTCCAGTCCACTCCCACCGCCCTCCACTCATTCTAATGTAGGTGAACACTCAGGCTTGTTTTGGCAATTTCAAGGTTTTATTTGCTTTTTTTTTTTATTTCAAGTGAATTCAGTGAAGTGAGTCGTGTTTCTATATCATGTCGTATTCAGTTTTATTGTTTTAATGACAAAGAGGTGAAGTAAAAGCCGAATGTTATGACTGGAACATGTTTGTTCGGGTCTTTTTCTGTCATTTCCTGCATGTCCACACGAGTTAATGTCAAGATTTAATTTATTTTTACATGTTTTAAAGGGTTAATCCATATAAGTTACAACAGAGAACACTGTTGTGTTGCTTATATGCAGTAGAAAAATTAAAAGTTTAGGTTTTAGCTGCCTGTTTGTCCAGAGTTAACTTTAAAGGGTTTCACTGCAAAACACAGAAAAGTTAAAATTATTTAGTTGAACAAAGACGTTACTTTTTTTTTAATGTCATTTTTTGTTTATATCTATTGTTTAATTTAATCTTTACTGAACTCGTGACCATATAAAAGGCTATAGCGTAGGGCTGAATGATTTATCTAACTGTGAGTTTTCTGACTGATACTGTCGTTAAACTTTTTTTTTTTTAAATTTTTTAAATGAAGCTACAGTTCAACACCTGCTGTGTAACACATTTAAAACCTGTGAAGCAGATTTACAACATCAGATACCATCAGAAGCTCGACCGTCACACAAAGAACACGGCATGGATTTGTAAAATTAGACATATCGAGTAACATATGAAGAGTTTTTTGTAAAAACAGAGAACTCCATCTTCACAAACCTTCAGAAAACTCACTTCTCCATCGTCTACCTGAGACAATATCAAACTTAAGTTATCTTTATTTTTGTCATTTCTACTGAGTCAAATCCACTCAGCTTCAGTTTGATTGATTTTTATTTCAAGCAAACAACCAAAAAATAAGCTTTCTGAAAATCTACAGAAAACGGAGTTATCTGTTTTTGCGAATGAACTCTTCAAATATTGTTTAATTTAAAATTGATTATATTGTTTAGCCCAAATGTAGAGTGAAGATAATACAGTTAAACACTTCAAGGTGAGCAATCTGAAAGCCTCAACAGATAAAACTAACTTTAATCTCTAAAGACCCGAACTCCTGTTTGATATGCATGTTTTATTTGATCAGATCAAATAGCAGAGAATTACAAATTTTAAAAGTTGTAAAAAATTAAAATATACATTTTTTTAACATATATTTTTAAAATAAATATTAATATTTTAATTAAAAATAAACAACAATAATAAAATAATAAAAAATTAAAAATAAATAAAATTTTAAAAACTACTGTGGTATTATAACCCAAAATGTGAGTCCACTCATATCAACAACAGGTCTAAACAGGTTCAGTGACTAAATGTTGCCATGCGTAAGAGTCTTTTTTTTTTTAAATTTTATCTAGTTTGGGTGAACAATAGTTAATGTTTTTTTGTTGTTGTGTGTTTTTGTCTCCGTGACTGAAGCTCCTCACTGTTCTTCTGTGATCCAGAAACATCCAGAATTTTCCCTC